AGGGAAAAGCCGATTACGATGTCAAATACCACATATAAATAAAAACGGCCCCAAATAGCCGTATAGTTTACAACCAAGGGGGCGGAGTGGGCGTGAGGCTAGAGTTATGGCTTGTTTCGTATGTGATTATCACTCCCTCTGGCAAGTTCCGAAGTAAGTGGGCAAGAGATGCATTGGCCGGTTGTTAGGATGTAATCTCCAACACTTAGAGCATAAAAGGCAAACTTGCAGCTCAAGAAGTTGGCTTTTTAAACCAGGTTTTTAAGGTGAAAAAATACCGTTGGAATCCTGGGGATCATCTGCAGGGTATCAGCACACTTTCCAATTTAATTTGCCGTTTTATTTGTATTATTTTATAGTATTCTGCTGATTGTTTATTTCCACTAATATCTCTATATCACAGTTTAACTATAGGTCTCTAACATTGTAAAAATTACATTGTCCATAATTTTACCTATATTTCCTATATTACTGCTATGAGATTGGGATGTTTTATTTCTTATACAAGTTATTTTTTACTGTAGTGTATTTTGGGTCAAGTATGAATGGCAGATAAGTGTTTATTAAATATAATAATATAGTAAGTTAGTTTATTGAAAGCTCAAAGACCAAAGACGGCTGCAACGATTTTCGAACCTTAGAAGAAACTGAATGAAGATCTGCGTTTCGTTCATGGGCGGTGTCAAACGACATAGACAGATGTTTTACAAGGCCTCGTTAATCAGTTTGTTGTAACCTGTTATCACCCAGAACAAATGTCGAGATAGTGTATGTCAACAACTCATTACCTATTCATGTTGGTTAATAAACTAGCTGAGCGGAATGCGGATTTCCATAAGATTTGGTTGCATGTAGACAAATGTGTAGGTGGTTCATGAAGGCTATTAGCCAGGCTCTTTTCTGAAAAATAAGAAAAACCATGATTACAAGTCACCCAGATCATTTTAGGAGGTCAACGATCACTTTGTACATTTTGGTTTTATACCCTTACTTTCATACATACCTTACCAACATACATGTTACATACATTACCAAGTGACTAAGTATCTTGAGACCCCACTCTAAATGGTTTACAAAACTACAGCGACACACTTATTGGAAACAGAAAAAAACCTGCTCTTAATAAAAGTACAGTTTGTTTTTAGTGTGACAACTTTTACCCCAAAATAGGATAGGTATTAGGTTGTATTTTTTTTAAAATACAAAGCCCCGTCGAGAGACACAAAATTAAAAGCCCCTTATAAAAGAAGAATATTGGCGAAAACTAAGGTAATCTCAATCAAGTACAACGTAGCAGTCATTTGATAATATATTAATGTAGATTCACTCAAGCTGATACAAGTTTTTAATGACGTCATTTTGTACTGTGTTGAGATAAAGTCTTCTGGTTTCACTGATGACCTTTAACAAGGACCTTCAAAATGAGGTGTTACTCGATGGGGCATTACATTTTTGTCTAAGGAACATGTCGGCCTTAGTCACTAACAAGACTACAAGATCGCGCCACTCATCCTACACTCATCCTTCACTCATATTTGGGTTAAAATACGCACATAGTGGCGTCCCCATCTTAAATAATTGATAATTGATGATTTAAATATCTTGAGCTGTCCCATAATACCCCATCTAAGTAGGATTACCATACATACCAAAATTTGCTCTTTCTTGCTTGGTGGGATGAGTTTAGTTGTCTTGGTACAACTCGTTGTAAAGTTAAGAGTGTGTATCCCTACATTTGCCTAACCCTGTTTAATATATCCAATTACAAATAAATGCAAGTTTCTATTCGTGTCTAAAGACAGTGTGGAAGGCAAGACCACCTACACAGTGTGTTATCACACACCATCTACTGATAATATCTACAGAACTCACGACCCAGAGACAGCTATACGACCACGACAACTACCCACCCACACATTCACTGGGATTAGCGAGTTTCGAATGTCTTACACTTGGAATACAAAATTAGTGATAGTACCGGGACATCCCACTCCCTTGTTAGCTATATAGCTAGTTTCAACAGATTGTGCTAATGCAAATTACTGGTTTGTTTCCTACACACAAACCTTTTGAACGAGCCAAAGAGTACAATTAATTGTAAATTGAGATAATCGAAATTTTCTCCCTCTGGATGTTCACCCCGGCTTATAACAGACAATGTAGGCCTAAGTAGAAATTCATTGAGGTTGTTTGTGGAATATCGTCATACTTTCTTGAAACTCTTCACAAATAAATCAGACTTAAGATAATAGGCTAAAATATTGTTTCGACCATGTTTCATGAACTCGTTTTAACGAGTCAAAACAAGAAGAGAGAGTTTGTTGATTATCAGTTAACGTTGCAAGGTTATCAAAGTGTCGTGTTTGTAGCTCTTCTTAGCTTTTTAGATTAGGTTGGTTTTGATAAGGTTAGTTTTGGATAGGTTCGGTTGGAAGTAAGAATAGGCGCGAGGTTAAAACTAGGTTGAGAATAGTTTTTTTATTTTTTTTTTACTTTATAGAATATCTTACCGCTTTTTGAACTTCAGGCACTTTGATATTGGATAATATTTTTAAACTCATGTTTAGATTCTATCAAACAATGTATCCGTGACGGTTGGACCTCCGGTCTCCATCCAATTTATCCTGAGGCTAAGATATGTTGGCTGGTTTCATTTTAATCAATAATTGTGAATTGGTTATGGTCACAATTGGTTTTAAACCATCTTAATGTTCCAGTCTGATTTACGGTATAAAATATTCATGGAAATATGGAATCTTTATGTGAAAATTCATCCATGTGATCATAATGTGATATTACCTTCAACCATCAATGTAATACTCGATATTCGATATTATAAATTTATGTTTTTGCCTGAATCAAAATACCTTATAAAGCTAATCTGATGAAGTGAACTGATTGTTTTGCTAATTTCAATTCAAAGTCGAGTTGTAGCTCGAGTATTCATCCAAAAAGGTCAGTTTAGTTCAAGTATTTGCCATGTGGCCGGGTCAGTTAGTCAAGTAGACTAAGGACATTTCAGTCAGTGATGTTTGAAGGCCAATGCCAATGAGTTTGTTGGTTTTTGACCCCACATCAGCTGCTAAGCAATTGTTGAGTAGACAAAATTGGTCCAGTGACTCATAGTAAAAGCTATTCTTTAATTTACACTAATATGATGTGGTGTTTGTATTATTTATTATTTTATTTGTTTGTACTTAACCAATCGTAATATGTAAACTAATTTGATGGATATTTCATGCATTGTCTTCGGATGCGACTTAATATTTGTAATATAATATTAACACATTATATTCTAAATAAATAATCTAATGCAATGCATCAATACATGATATATCCTTAATGCTTTACTAGGCCACCAATCTAGGGCGTCGAAATATTGGAAATTGATCTGTAGATACCAGGGTTGGTTAATGTCTTATTCTCCATCTTAAAATATTTTAAGACTTTTGCCCCCAAGCTTCCAAGGTTTTGAGATGTGGCTTTTTACAATAAACATGGATCGGGCTCCATGTGAACTTGACGAATGACTTATAATACTCAAGAATTATGGATAATCAAACATAGAAGTGACTAAAAAGGACACAGTTTGTAAAACATCTCATCAAGTAATCTTCTGTCATAATTAGTTATTTCCTTTGAACTGATGTTCAGATTGGTTAGTGAAGCGTGAAACTAACGCAATTCGTGAAATACGATTTAAAATTTTTTATGAGCTACCATATTTCTACTAGAAATACAGTTATCAAAAGTAGTCAGGTAACTTATGTTTAGAATAAGGCAGGATTTCCTCTTCATGAAAAGCACACATGAAAAATAAAACATGACATATTATGTTATAAAACTAGTCTGGTGCCCACACGAAAATGTAGAATGTCCATTGGGTTTTAAACTATTAAAATCGTGCTATCTTTATCATTATGCTGCTTGCAAGATTATCTACATAAAATGTATACTCTAATATGAGCTATGTCAGTTTGTCTGTCTGTCTGTATATATATCTAAATCCAGCGGAAGGATTTTGAGTAAATTTTGGCATTATGGACTTATAGCCCTAAAAACGTGATTGGTGACAGGCACTACCTCAGGAAAACTCGTATTTCACTCCACAACTCATTTGAAAAAATAACATTGGCCATGGGTTGCCAGGTAACTATGGTGCTTGAACAAAATAACAAGGAAAAGTAAACAAAAGACTTGTTTCATGTGCTTATTAAAGTTAGTCATCCAAAGTATACCAATAAATTAAAAATACAGTACAAAGGGAAAAACATCAATTGTAAACTATTGAGCAAAGATTACACTAAAGATTCGGGGAAATAGCTTCGATCAAATACTGATTATTTTGCTAATCCTTCTCCCACCAAAACTTAATCTCCGAAGTACTGAGGCATTCAAAGTAAACTAACTAAAAAATCGTTGGCACAAGACATTTTGAAACTAATATGATTTTGTTTATATCATACTAGTTGTTTCCCCGTTTTTCGCAACAGGACAAGAATACTTGAGAGAATAATGTGTGTCTCGAAATCTACTGTAAAAAAAGTTACACACACTTGCCATGCTAATTATACAGACAAATCTCAATCGTAATTTTTTCAATGAAAATCTCTTGTGTTTTTGCTTTAAACTGTGTGGCAAATCAAAACATTAACTCAGGGAAAAAAGTAAACAAACTATTAATCAAAACAAAATGTAAACAGCTGATACATCTTCAATATTATTTTACTTTCATATGTTTTGTTAGTAAACAAATCTTAATAAAGTTCTTTTAAAATCCCTGACTTAGGTACCTTCAAGACGGTCCCAAGACTAAGCCCTGAGAGTTATCAAGAAATTGATGGTGTAACCTACTCCATGAAATTCTACATGTGTGTACATAGTTTCGTGGCCATCGGTCCTGCGGTGTTTGAGTATATCACACCACATCCAACAACAAATATACAAACAAACCAACATCCTCTTTTATACTTATAGATTTTTATCTGCCGTCATTGGCGAGCGTATAAGTCGAACAACTGGTTTCAATAACTAGAGGGAAGAACATTTCTTTGCGAGTAGCACTTAAACTTAGCAAAATCATAAAACTGTATCTTATTTTCGTATAATTGCATGCTTTTACATTACATAGTTGTTATTGTTTCAGCGATTAAATGTGAATGATTTGTAATAATTTTTTTTTTTTGTAAATTATACAATTTCTGTACGATTATTTTCACTATTTAACTGAACTAACAAAAGCCGAGCAAGGCTCGGTCCCCCGTTACTAATAATAGGTACCTATCGCTTAGCTATTCATAGAGTGAAATGTCCAGTATAGAAATAGCTTTCTTCGTTACCTTGCAAACCTATCAGAATTATAATACTAGTAGATTAATGAACCTACAGCCTTAGGTAGGCTCAGATCCACTGGGCACTGCTTCACTTAGCAATTTCCCATTGTTGATTGACGGGATTCAATCCCGGACCTCCAGGAATGAAGGGTAACTAAGCAAGCGTACAGGCATAGATAAAACATACTCCACAGGTGGCTCTTGTACAGATGTAGCTTAAGATTTAGGATTACGTCAGCTGTAAGCCAATATTTGGGAATGTTTCCTTAGGAGATCAAGTAAATAAGAAAAGTAAATAAAAGTAATTTCGGTTATCAACATATGTTTATGGTCTTTTTGTCTATGGTAATACTATCTGATGAAACCGTACGTACAAGTAATCCACTGAACAGTTACTAGGAGTTCACTCTATTTGAATATATTTGTCGCCAAACAAGTTGCTCTGACATTCAACCTTGCAGTTTCCTAAACGTAATATACGCATACAAAATCCACGTTCTTTCTCTCACCTTTATTTTTTCGTGATAGAATTCCTTAATGACGTCTCTACCTTTGGAAACTTGTAATATTGTGACGCTCTCGTGGATTCGTGAGGTTTTAAAACTTGAAAAGAACACTTGAGATCCTCCCCCACCGTCATCATAGCACCAGCGTTGTCGAACTGCCCGCAATAGTTGGGTGCGGAGAATATAGTTACAAGTTTTCTATTGGCAAAAAACTCATAGCCATCTTCAACAACTTGATGACCTCTTGCGATCAAATCCATGTCAAACTTCGCGAGGAATCTCAAAATGACTTCATTTCCAAAGGTGAATGAAACCCCTCGGTCATTCTCACCCCAACCTGCTATGTCTTCCGATGGATCAGCCCAGAGAAGGTCACAGAGAAGACCTTGGTCAGGAATGTCCGTGGGCCGTTTAATACGCCTGATGTGATCCATACTCTTCAGATCCGGACTGAGTCCTCCGTGGCAACAAAAGATCTTCTCATCAATAATCGCAGCAACTGGAAGGCAGTTAAAACACTCACAGAAGGTCTTCCACAATTTGACGCTGTATCTCCTTTTGCACTCGTCGTAGAATCCGTAGATTCTATTGATACTTGCACACTCATGGTTGCCTCTGAGAAGAAAGAAGTTTTCAGGGTACTTTATCTTGTAGCACATGAGGAGACAAATTGTTTCAATAGATTGTTTACCTCTGTCGACATAGTCACCGAGGAAGAGATAGTTGACACTGGGAGGGAATCCACCGGCTGCGAAGAGACGAAGAAGATCGTCGTACTGCCCGTGGATGTCGCCGCAGATTTTCAACGGTGCGTCAAGTTCCAGAAGCATCGGCTGAGATAAGAAGATCTCTCGTGACTTGGATATGAGGTGACGAACCTCAAAGTCTGATAGTTGAACGTTCTTACCAGGCTGCAGCTGTCGAACTCCTTGTAACAGACGGTCTGTAATCGAGTCTATGTTCACTTTGGCATCCATTAGTCGAGTTCTAGTTGATGCAATTCGTATTGTGTATTTGGAAACTTGGTGTGTTGCAAAACATAATTTATGTTTTCCATGTGTTAACTGTAAATATTGTCATAGACGTAAATTAATGTTAATCATATGGTCAAGAAATGCTGCATGCATTAGAAAGTAACGAGATGCATTCGTAGCAATAGTAGAAAGCCTTAAACTAGCTTCTAGTTCTTGGTGTTTTCCTAGCCATCTTCACTGTTACTCTCAGCTGTGAGCTTTTCTCATTATTTAATTATTGCACATTCCTAATATACTGTGATAGCAGTTATAAATTATTTATTATATGAATAAATATGCTATAAACTATCTCTTTGGCAGAATTGTACTCATACAAAATTCTTTTTTTGCATAAATATTATCTTAATTCATCATAATTTCGTCACATACTTGTATATAATACGTGAAGGCGATTTCTACGAAACACTACTCCTCCGTTAATAATGGACAGATTTTTACAAACGATATGTCAACATTAAGTATTTTTTGTGAGGACGCCCCCTTTCACCAATTCCTGTAATAAAAGTCCTCGGGCTTTGCCCTACATAGGCCATCAAAGTCCCAATGTATTTCTTATGAAGAAGGGATTTTGTTTACTTAAACAAAAGAATAATTTGTATTAATTACAGCTGTTCATAGTAAATACATGATACACACAAGGGCGTTCGTTTTCAGAGTGAGTTCGTTTTCAGTTTCGATTACTGGAGTGGAGTGAGCGTTCGTTTTCAGAGTGAGCTCGTTTCCAGGTTCGATAATTGGAGTGGAGTGATTGATTACATTATCTTTGAGTTTACTCTTTTAAGTAATCAGAAATTGTGACTGTTACTCGTTTTTAAATAATGCCTGTAATACTTTGCAATAGCTCGAATTCGAGTAACAGGTTCACTAGTTTTATACCATTCCTTTACAGCGACGGCTAGTACTGATGTTTGCCATTTCCCACCAAAAACCACCAAAAAAACAGTATATGATTCTGATTTCTCACGAGAGAACACTTCTGGTTAAATTCCTACGGACCAAGCTACACTAGCTACAGGGTTAAAATAAAATTCATTGCTAGAGTCTCGATTAGAAAGTTGTCAACTCTGACAAACCAGATGTCTAACCTTAGTGGTAAACGACATTTACAGACGGCTGCAACTGAATTGATTCATAATTAGATGAACGTGAAGTAGTCAAAGCCGTACGAGGAGGCGTCGTTCCCATACCGTTGGTTTTGAAGCGTTGGAAATTATTAAAACTTTATACCGTAGCTGTTAAACGTACAATACATAAAATATATTCTCCTGTTAAAGCCGTTTATTATGTTTTTCTCACAAAAAATACGTAAAAATGAAAATGTATTAAACACACACTTAGGGACCTACAATAACTTTTGAACCGTAAATTTTACAGCAATGGGGGTTTGCACTATGTGTTTAAGAATTATAAGGACCGTCACATACAAATTTTCATCAAAACCGGGTTTTTTCGAAAATACGATTTTCTCTTATTTTATGGGGGTTCGATAATAAATTCGGTTAATGGGATAGTAACAAAAGTTACAATAACTTTTGAACCATAATTTTTACATGAACGGGGTTCTATCATTTTGTTCTGAATTTGAAAGGCTACAACATATGTACTAAATTTTTATCAAAATCTTTCGGGCCATTTTGGAGAAAGTTCGCCTTTTTCATGTATTTCATGGGGTTTTCTAAAAAAAATCACCATTAAAAATCAAAATTTCAAAAAAATTAAAGAGAAACTGGAGATACCATTGATTAGAACTTACATACCAAATTTCATCAAAATCGGAACCACAGGACCGGGCGGTGTGGTCTGTAGTTCTGTCTGTGTACACATCCACACACACAGACAGACAAACACACGAACAGACATCACTTCGAAAACAACTTTTTTGTTTCAGGGGAGCTCAAAACGGATATATCCACTCAAACTCGAAAATGTTGACGAAAACAATGTTTTCTCCATTCATACCTACTCTGTCATGGGGGGGGGGGGAGAAAGTAAAAGTACACGAATAACTAAACCTTCCATTAACCAAAAATCAATATTATTGCTTGAAATTCATACGACCTTTGACTATTGATGCAAGTTTAATAGTCCAATAGACAATGATACGATCTAATAATTGCACAAAATACACCCAAAACCCTATTACACAAACAGGTCGACGCTAATGCAGTATAAAATATACGTTTCCTAATCATGGATTTTAATCAAACCAAGAAATCCTACGTTGCGAGGCGGCATTCTTTCACGAAAACTTAAATTATATAAAACCAACGTGTAGCTGTCGACTAGGTGGTGGTTTCCGGCCAACCTTCTCTCTTAATATCAGGTAATTTCTGCGGATTTTTATACCTAAGTGCGTGTGCAGGTGCTAAGCTGCTCGCTGCAGGCGATTGCAACCAAATTGCACTGTCATTACATAGAGCAGCGTGGGTATGAAACGCCATTGACGCCATGGACAACTAGCAAAGTTTCACTTCGTATAGTTTTAGTTGCTGACACAGTCACATCCTTATAGCGAACTTACCCATAGCATTACCGTAGTATAGTCACAGACTACGGAAATATTACAGTATTATATTGCCTGTGGTATAGTGGTGATCTAACCTCAAATGTTCATCGCAGAGTCCCCAAACGATTAGTTTTGCATGGTGTGTTTCCGTAAGCACAGCAACACGAATTTTTACGAGATTAAGATTTAATAATATATTTGAGTTTTTGATGCAGTCTCATTCACCCATTGGAAAGCATTTGTATGGATGGGGAAGGGGTAAAATCCTTAAAAGAAACTGTTCCTTCCACTTTTGGTCTTAAAACGTGACAGGGGATTTTTACGATTCTGAATCGACCACTCGACAGATTATCATGATTTTTGTGTTGAAAGAAATATAATTTTGAAAGGAAGGGAATGTTGGATTGGATTCGTTTGTGTTAAAAACTTAATTTTAGTTTAGGGTTTAAGTTTTTTTACAAATTTAGTTTTTACTATATTATATATTATCATAGACAAAAAGAATAATTATTTTATTTGTCTATATTATTATATAAGATGCAATTTTTATGCCTGTTACAACTGACTGTCAACTGTCAGCATGTTTAGGTTATGCACATCTTTCAATCAATATTTTAATATATTTAATAATATTTTAATCCAAACTATAGACACATTTATTTAGAGTTATAATCATTTCTAAATAGTTAAAAACTTTGTCATCAAATCATCGGTTGATAGAGGTAACATGTCAAGTATTACCCTACTGTGGTGGTCAAATATTGCCTATTCGTCGTTGTAGCTCTTGATCGTCACAGACATAACCAATAATCCCATGAATGGCAGTCAACAGGAGCCGTATCAAAGGCAATCTCACGGTAAAGTGGAGCTATAAAGCTGATCTATGGAGACGCTAGCACGGCGTAAACCAAGCAGACTATAACGTACCAATCGATTGGTTTATTTATGTCGCAGTTTCTTTGAACTGACTGATCGCCAAGTGTTTCTATGCTTTCCACGCCGGACTAACTCATTGTAGATATTGTGTGTGCTTGGAATACAACTAAAATCTTTCTTAAGTTTCCTTCGATGTGAAAATTCTTTGTTTTTGATACTTTAAGTAGACTTAAGACATCTCATCGTATCGTAATGAAGCATTTTTTGTATCTAGTACGCCTAGAAGCGTTGGTGTAGTACGTTCAAATACGCTGATGTTGACGCGATATTTTTTATATTTCAGTGAATTTTATCTGTGCTCTTTTTACTATTTGGCAATTATAAATAAAAACTTTTCGTTGTGGGGGGAGGGGTAACCTACATACCAGGTAGAAAATTACATAAAATTTATATTTCTAAACGAGTATGTTTGATTTTTTTGTAAAGGTATAAACATTTTCACAACACTTTTCCTAGCATAGTTAAACATTAACATTATTTCATCACGGTAAGGGAAGTAACGAATAAGTTCAGAAATCAACTTATACCCCTTTCTACTATTATTTATTGCAATAATTTGTGTTTTCTAAACGGTTAGAATTTGTTTTTTGCGTTTTATATATTGCACGATAAAAATTGTGATTTCTTATTGCATTGAAAAAAAAAATCATCTTTGTCAAGTTAGAAACAACACCTTGATCTCAAACTGGAATAATTTTGTTGAGAGGAGCGTTCCCAAAGCGCATTCGGGAGAATGACTTGATCGTGCCAACAGCTGTTTTCATACCAACTTATTCCTGTGCGCATGCAATTTGCACAATTCATAAATAAGCAATCTTTCCCACGAGTTTTTACCGAAACCTCACGACCGGCAGTTATAATCCGCTACGCTCTCGAGGGCCAAACTGTAAATAACACTTTCTAACTTGCACTTACTAACCGCCGTGGAAGAGGGAATAACTTTACGACATCGTGCATTAACTATTAAGCGTAAATTCTGCTCCGAGAGCAATTATTATGGTATGCTATTGTTGTAATAGCTTATCATATGACTGGTATACAACAGGTTGAGTATAAGAAACGGAGATGCCATAACTTTGCCCGTTAAAATCATTTTAATTTCACTATTTTTTAAAGTTGGGGACCTCTTTTGATCATTTTACTCGTCTATATAAGTCTAGAAGACCTCTGGACTTTGGGACATCATAGTCTAACTATTTCATCTATGGCATGATTCCAAGCAAGTGATGAGCTGGTACAAACTAGAGTTAACTGTAGTGATCAAATTAGTTAAGAATCAAGAATCAACATTTAATTCCAGTAGACACATACATGCATATGGACCCGTCAAAAAGTGGATTACATGCTGCAAAAACACAAGTCAGAGATAAATACAGTACATACAAAATTCAGGCAAAAACAAACAAGTCAAATAAGTTACAAAGGTCATTTATGTTCGAATAAGTAGTTGCTGCACTGAAATGAGAACCCACGACATCATCAGGAGGCGGATCATTTCTCATA